CTGCTGAATGATGAGCAGAATTCCATACAGATGATGACCTCCCTCATATGGGAGTCTTCAAGAAGAGGCTGCGCAGCCATCAATATGGAACATTTTAACTTTGGGTTTTTTCTGCATAGTGGGGGAGGACTAGATGGCCTGTAAGTCCCTGCCCAGCTCTGGAACTGTGATCAAATTACCCCAATGTGAAGTCTCCCCAAGGTAGTTTGACCTGTGTCATTCTGCCAAGCGGTGAGGATTTTACCACACACTGTTTATTGGCAACACCAAAAAGCCAGTCTTTCGGATGCCACTAACAAGCCTGTGTGTTTGCCGTGCATATCTGTATGTGCTGTTGCTGGAAGTGGCTAAGGGATCATCCACAGCTGGAGGAGCAGTCTGCTGAGTGCTTTAAACAGGTCCAAGCTTATCATTAGTGATCTGTGTTTCAAAGAAGAAGCTGGACCTGGGCCAGAGAGGCTGAGGCCCTCTCTGCAAAGGCTCGAGAGTGCCGGGTAATGTTTTAAAAGCGGTAAGTAGGGCAATCTGTGTACCATGATTCTGTGAGAGCACAGAATGGCCCGCAAAGCATGAGACTAGGCAACAATTTATTTATTTATTTTTGGCTTTTGCATTAGAAAAATGACAGCCACGTTTCCAAGTGTATCTTCAAAGCCATGAGGGTTAGCAGTGTGTAGTAAATAGCTGCTGAAATCGTAGAAGCCAGAGGGATGGCTAAAGGTTTCTGGCAGTTGGGAAAGTGCCCTGCATGGTTCCTTGCTTCTTCTCCAAGGGAAGCAAAAACAGTAATCCTGCAAATTTTCACAGGCTGCAGGATTTGCCTTGAGAGGAGGGACCCTGGTGATAGAGCAGAAGCCTCCTCGCATCCCAGGTTCAGTCCCTGGCATCTTCACTGTAAGGATTGCAGGGAGCAGGTGTTGGGAAGGATCTTCCTCTGCCTGCGAGTCTGGAGAGGAGACGACACTGAGCTCAATGAACCAAAGGATGTGCCTTAGTATCAGGCAGCTCCATGTGTTCGTATGCCAGATTTTCTTGGCACAGGGTTTTTTAATTAGTTCTGAGCACATAGTACTTGCATCCGAGCAGTAATTAATAACAGTGCTTCAATGGAAGCTAAGTTTGTTTTGTCCTTCTAACCTTCCTAATGAAGAGTGTTCTCTTTTAGGTGCAGGCTCCTCTGCTTTGAAGAGGCCTTTTGAAGACGGGTTGGGAGAAGAGAAAGATCCCAATAAGAAGATGAAGCGTAACTTGAGGAAAAGTAAGGATGTCAGCCCCCCCCCCCCCGTTATGCTTTCAAAAAGGGCTTTATCATCAGGAAACCATGGAGGATGTGGGATCAGACAGTGTTGTGTTCCTTCCACAATACCACACTCAGAGCTTCGGGGGGGGAGGGGGGCGCACTCTGAAAAACGAGCTGCAGCGTGTTGGGTACATGAACCCACACAACTGTTGTGGTGTCTGGCAAGTTGTGACACTTCAGAAGCTGCTGTCCTTAGCCAATTTTGTGATGTGGCCAGTGACCTAGCACAAATTTTATCATCAGACAGATCCCACTCCAACTTCTTAGGCAGATAATAGCCTGCGGGACAAGTGCCCCCCCCCCCCCCCCGGTGCATTTCTAAGCATGGAGCATCAACTTAGGAAATGCTGGTTTCATGAAGAGACCAGCTCTGTGCACTGTTGCATCCTACTCTGTGACCAAAAAAAAATCCACTTCTGTGTCAAGAGAAAACCAACAGGAGTCCTGCGGCAATTTGAAATCTTAACACATTTCAAAGCTAAGATGACCTTTTGTGGACTGAAGCCCTCTTCCTCAAATGCATGAGGTGGAACCTGATGGATGCATGCAGAAAGACTGTGTCTGTTTGCATCTGTGCAAGGCGGACAGATTTCCATTGGACGTCAGGGAAACTGGACATTGCCAGTAGCAGTTGGAGAGTTGCTACGGAACCCAGGGTTCCGACAACTGCAGCTGCACCCTGGCAACCAAAGCCTGTCTTTCCTGTCTTACCTCCCCCCACCTTATCACCATTATCATGTCATCACTCGAGGGTGGGTCTACATTCAGGTTGGCAAAGCCCAGCTATAATGGGTGGGGCCCACTGAAGAAGCTCCCCCCTTGGATGTGGAAGGGATTTTCCGCTTTTTTTTTTTTTTTTTTTTTTGGCCTCACTCCTGGCCCTTTAGCAGGTGAAATTTTTCCTGACACTTTTCTCAGTTCTTGGGGTGGGTGGGGGGACTTCACCAGCCTACTTTTTTGTGTGTCAGGCTGATATTAAAGGCACAGGAGCAGGGCCTAGGGAAATGCTTGCTCCCTGTGCTGGGTTAAGTGCATAAAAATGGTTGGAGTCATATATGAGTAGGGCTGAGGCCATCAGGTTTTTAAAGAGTTGCGTGAGGGAGCATGTTGCCTTAAATTAGCTGTTTCCTCTCTCTGCCTTTTCCTCATGGCATAACTTAGACTGGAAGTTCCTTGGGGCAGGGACCGCCTGTTTTTTCTGCTTATGTTTTCTTTGTAGAGTTCCCGGTACATTGAAGGCACAATATAAGTGATAACATTTCTTGGAGTACATTATGAAGCTTAGCTTTTGTCCAGCACAGAAGGCTGTGAAGCAAAACTGCCAAAGCCTTCTGCGGTTCTTCATTCGCTGGTGCCCAGCCTTACTCCATCTCCGTTCTCATTTTCTCTGATTCCCCCCCCCCATGACAGTCCTCGACAGCAAAGCAATAGATCTCATGAACGCTCTGATGCGCCTGAATCAGATACGGCCTGGCTTACAGTACAAGCTGCTCTCCCAGTCAGGCCCTGTCCACGCCCCAGTCTTCACAATGTCTGTCGATGTGGATGGTACAACATACGAAGCTTCAGGCCCTTCCAAGAAAACAGCCAAGCTTCACGTTGCAGTGAAGGTAAGAGGACGGGTAGAGTTGCAGTGCTCTGAAATATGAAGGAGAAGCGCTAGTAACTCAAGTTTTTTTGGTCCTAAATAGGGCCATTGCGTTTTGGTGGGTGCAACGTCGATCTTTTGCGTCTCTGTAGGAACCAGACAGAATGAATAAAATCAGCACCGTGTCCTTTATTTCATCTTTATACAGTTACACCTGGGTCCTCAGTTACGCAATTAGGGCTGGTGCTTCCATCTGCCTTGCCCCAAATAGCTTAGGGGCGAAGACCCACCAGGACCCAGGAAGCACGTCAGACCAAGACTGGTGTCTGGTTCTTACTCTCCCACCTCAACCTCATCTTACTGTCTCCTCTCCTCTCCTCTCCTCTCCCATCCCACTCCACCACCACCCCGCAAGTGGTATTCCTTGAGGCTTTCTACTTTCCTATCCTTCCCTGACTCCACCTTCCTCAGATGTAGCTTGTGACAGGGCTATTTTTGGGCAGGAACGCACAGGAACGGAGTTCCGGCTGGCTCCTGAGTTGGCCACGCCCAGCAGGAACATATTAGAATAATAGGCAACACCCAACAGCAGAAACTCATTAGGATTGGCTACATTAGGGTGTGTGGCCTAACATGCAAAGGAGTTCCTGCTACAAAAAAAGGCCCTGGGTTTTGACAACAAACAAGGTAAACAGAATAAGAAGCAAAAGGTGGGTGTGGCTGGATGAACACACGTCTGGTAACACAGGGGTGTGGCCTCATATGCTAATGACCTGTGCTGTCAGGTCTAATATGCTAATGAGTTCCTGCTTCTGGGTGTGGCCAATTATGCTAATGAGTTCCTGCTGGGCTTTTTCTACAAAAAAAGCCCTGAGCTTGTCCATTCCTTGACACCCCAGCCCTGAGCCCTTAAAGGGCACCTTCTTGGAAGAGGACTCTCTTGGGGTAGAATTATTGGTGGCCTCAGGACCAGTATCCAAACTATTGTGGCCACAGCCCTCTTGTGTAAAAGGGGTGGCACTGAACTGGAGATGCTGCTGGGTCTGGCAGAGAGTGGGTCCAGGGGGACCAGTACCTGAACTCCCTCCCCCCAGTGGAGGATGATATGGCCCAGGAACTGAGGTCACCACTCACTGGATTTGCAGTCTGGGAACAGTAAAACTGAGTTCAGCTTTTAACATCAGTGGGTGTTAGTTTTGGATCAGCTCAGTGGCTCTGGGTTGGTGACATTTGGGGGAATAAACAGCATAGGCAAAATCCTGCTGCATCAAACCAAAGGTCCATCTGATGTAGCATTCAGTTCCTTATTGGTCAACAAGATGCTTTTCGGGACCTCCTGAATACTGTGTGAAAGCAACAGCCCTTTCCTAGTTGCTGTCCCCCAGCAATTAGTTCTTCAGCTAAAAAAAAGAAAAGGAGAAAAAAAGTATTCCCTAAACCAAATTTTAGGGTTGCTCAGCTTGAATCTATATTACATGGTGTGTATCCTAACAGAAGATGGCTCTAGCATTTCTGGGCTGAAGTCCCAGTTCTGAAACAGATTCTTTTGCTATCATTAAGACAACCCACAGCACTGCCCTGACCTGGATAGCCCAGGCAAGCCCAATCTCATCAGATCTCGGAAGCTAAGCAGAGCCGACCCTGACAAGTATTTGGATGGGAGACCTCCAAAGAATACCAGGGCCAGGGTGCAGAGGCAGGCTATCAAGCCACTTCTCTGAACATCCTCCATGCTTCAGTAGGAGTCGCCAGAGGTTGACATGACTTCCAGGCATGGGTATGCGTGTGCACATGCACACACACACACACAAGACAACCCACAGCACTGTGATATGCAAGTGGTGTGTATGTGTGTTTCATGTTCCCCATCTGAGAAATGGGAACCATGATGACGTTCTTAGAAGGAACCAAGTAGCAGGAGCGAGTCCTGAGCTTTTAAAAATGCCTCTGGAGGTGGTGGTGGTGGTGATGACAACAATGCAAGGTGGCTGACTGGAATCATTGATTTCTGTTGCAAGTGTTGGTTGCAGTATTAGGAAATAGACACGTCAGTTTCCAGGTTCCAGAGAGGCAGGGTAGGGTCTGCCCCAGGGTCTGCCAGTGTTGAGATGGGCTGCAGCCTACCTTCCTCCAGTTTTAACAAGGAGGAGGAAATTCTCTTTCTCTGAGCTGGCAGAGCTGCAAAGGCAAGAAGCCCCATATCTGTTCCATCTGTCGTTTTTATCTTGGGCTTATTTCATGTGTTGTTGAAAGAGATTCTCATTTTCAGAAAGTTCATTCAGCAACACTTGGCTCCTTCTTTTGGTTTTTGGAGCTGAGAGGAATTTTCCTTTCTGGTCTCACTTCCTTTGAACATGAAAGTGCCCCTAAAATATCTGATAGCCGCTTTCTTCCTCTCTCAGGACAGCCTTCCTCCCACCCAGTTGTTAAGATTTGTTCTCTTCTCTTCCCTCCCCCTATTTTTCCACAAAACATTTTAATATTTTGTCTTGCAAAGCACTGTCTGTTCTTCTCATCCACGTTGTATCATGCCATGAAACGGGGAGGAGGGTAGAGTCCCCTTACTGGCAGAATCTAGTGACTGAGGTTTCAGGGTATCGGGAAATTTTATTTCTAGAGCAATAGAGAAGACTATCGTATATTCTCAGGGCAAGTAACAATGGGAAAGATGATATCCTATATAGGATGGACAATTTAGAAATAGGGTAAAAAATGGAACAAATACTAAACACAAACTGCAGCATCATAAAGAAGTTGGTGCACGCAAAAGCAGCCACTCAGTGCCTAAGCCCAGGCATCTTTCAGAAGAGCGTCTCCTGGTGAAGAGCTGTATTGTTGAAATGTGATGAGGGCTGTTTGTACATTAGAATTCTGCAGGAGCACAAAAAAGGTGCAAGGTCCAGGGTATCAAGACTTCCCATTTAGAAATATGGCTTCAGTGCTTTGCGTTGCTTTTTGTCCCATTTAGAAATATGGCAAGTTTCTAGCCCTCATGGCTGTGAAGAGACACTTGGAAGTGTGTTGATACAGCTGCCGAAACTTTGGAAACCCAAAGACGGCAGAGTTCCAGGGTTGTTTGGGGGGTAAGGCTTCAGTGCTTTGCATTGCTTTTTGTCCCTCCTCACGACAAGCAAGACCTGAATAAGTGAGGTCAAGTAGTTTTTTAAACGATTACATTATGAAAGAAAAGGCGTTATTGTGTGGAGGAGCATAATTTATGCAGACCGAGGGGATCCATCTCAGGACGGAATGTTCCCTTTCTGCTTGTGATGCGCAGGCGACTTTGACCATTGCAATGGAAGAAGGGAGATGTTTGGCACAGAGGGTCTTAGCTGGTCCTGTGTTTCAGTGGCAGGGGCTGGTTCTTCCGTCAACAGATCAAGCTCTGGAATCTAGGCCATCAACAACAGCAAAAACAGTGGGTCTCAGTGCCATGCCCAGTGTGATTTCTCCCCCCCCCTTTACTGCAGGTTTTGCAAGCCATGGGCTACCCCACTGGTTTTGATGCAGACATGGAATGTACAAGCTCCGATGAGAAGTCGGATACGGAAGGCAAAAATGAGACAGTGTCTTCAAACTCAAGCAATAATACTGGGAATTCTACAATCGACACCTCTGCTACCTTGGAGGTTGGTGTTGCATCCCCCCCCTCTCCCCGGCACACAACCAGCCGTAGGAAATCCTTTCAAGGTCTCCCTCCAGCTTGGTTCTCCTTGAAAAAATTTGCTCTGGTGTTTCCTGGTTTTTCTTTATGAGAAACAATAAACTTGTTTTTAAAAAAATGAAAACTGAGCTTTTTAGGATGCTAAGTTTTGTCTACAACACTAGAGTTTGTATATCATATACCAGTTAAGAGTGTCAGCACAATGGAAGTTCAGCACAATGATGGACATGCCTGGACACCTGTCTCTCTCGATCATCCCTCTCCCTCTATAATATGGGAATGATGTACATATTAAACTGCCCAAACTGGGGCCAGTGGTCTATCTAGCTCAGTAATATCTATTCTGACTGGCAGTGGCTCTCTAGGGGCTGAGGCAGAGAGCAAACCTTTTTTTGAATTGGAGATTGAACCTGGGACATTCAGCCTATGAAGCATCCGCTCAGCCACTGAGTTATGCTCCCTTCTCATAAGAAGCTGTCTTATTTCCAGTCGCACCGCTGATCCATCTAGCCTGGCAGGAGCTCTCTGGGGGCTTCAGTGTCTCTGAACTATTAAAGGAACAGGACGTTCATCTGAATTTCTGAAAGGGCCCTATGCCATCAGCCTATTGATCCATTTTTGACTCCTGTCACTCTCCAAGGCCTTTCCCTGCACCTGCTACCAGAGATCATTTTAACTAGTGATGCCAAGGACTGAACTCAGGAACCTTATGTATGCAAAGCAGGTGTTCTGCCATGGAACTCCCCCCCTCCCCCGTTTATAGAATTCTGGTTAGTCACAGAATGCATTTTAAATGCTTACAGAAAGTGTTCATCAAAATAATATCATAAAGTGTTTTTATTCAGGGTTTTTTTTAAAAAATAGGAAACCCACTCACCCATCTGTTTACATTGAAATATCTGGTACTTGGGCTATTATCAGTTGTGGTACTTCCACCAAGTAATTTTTAAACATTTGCTTAACCAATGCTGGGGATCCTGGAAACACAGAAATATTTTCCTTCCTGCTCCAGTCTTTTTAAAAAATAAAATCCCAAACGTATCTGTTCCTGGGCTGTCTCTGTAGCTCTTCTGATTGGCCTTGCTCTTGTTCTCTGCCAAAATCTGTTGTAACGTAGGCCTCTGTGGGTCAGGGGCTGTGGCCTGGAGCAAGGAATGAGTAAACTGATCGCCTTGTTCAGGACGGGAGCAGGTGTCCAGAGGTAGCTAGAGACACTGGGTTGCAACCAATGTTCCCTCTAAGCTATGGAGCCCTGTGAGCAAAAAATCTACTTTGTGAGCTACTGGCATTAATGTTGTGAGCAGGAGATTTAGCTGCTGCATAAATTAGCTTGCTCTGGAGCCATCCTTCCTGAGCGAAGACAAAAATGTGTGAGCCAGAGGCTAAAAAACTGTGAGCTAGCTCACACTAACTCAGCTTAGAGGGAACACTGGTTGCAACTACTCCTGCAAGAACTGGCCTTTAGAAACCAGGTGTTCCTGTTTTAGGCAGAATGGAAGGTTGAGGGAATAGTCAGTATGTTAGAGCTGCCAGCCTGGAATGTGGAATGGCCCTAAGTAGAGTTTTGTTCCCCTTCCACCATGCCGTTTTGTAAACTCGAGGGCCTCTGCATATGTGATGGAGTCCTGGAAACGTGTGCTCACAGCTGTGCATGCAAGCATAGTGCAGGTGAGTATTCGAACAGCCTTGGTGTGGATCAGGCAGGTGCTGGGCACAGAGATTGCCCCGTGCCATTTTCTTTGCTTCTGCAATATCTGTACTGCTACTACATATGTGCGTGCCATCCTCCATCCTCTGCTTGGGTATCTTGTCTTTCCTAGGTACGAACTCAGGGTCCCATCCTCACAGCGAGTGGCAAGAATCCGGTGATGGAGTTGAATGAGAAACGGCGAGGCCTCAAGTATGAGCTTATTTCCGAGACGGGCGGCAGCCACGACAAGCGTTTTGTGATGGAGGTGAGAGAGGCATATCATCTTGGCAGGTTGCCTTGAGAGGGATCTAGGATGGCTACTGGCTCATGTTGAATGTATGCCTGGGTGCAAGTCCAGGTTTGGTTTCTTGTAATGGACCTGTAGAAGGGGAGTAACAGTGGAATCAAAGGATTGTTCAAGCTGTCAGTGGGTGGTGAGAGGTCGAAGCCCCATGAAGATTTGTGGTTCTGTGTATCTTCTTGTGTTGTCATTGGTTCAGGCTTGTCCATGGGATGAGCCATGAACGTGTTCCTGTCCCTTCTTGGAATGGCTTCTGCCAGGAGATGGGCGTCAGGTATAAATCCACCATCTCATTTCCAGGTTGAAGTAGATGGCCAGAAGTTCCGAGGCGCCGGTCCCAACAAGAAGGTGGCCAAGGCCAGTGCTGCATTGGCCGCCCTTGAGAAACTCTTCTCTGGCCCCAATGCAGCTGCCAACAAGAAGAAGAAGATTCTTCCCCAGGTGAGGCGCGTTGAGTGGATTGCCTCTTGGGAGAGCTTCCTGCTTGGCCAGTGAAGCAGCAACACCCAAGCCAAGAGACATCAGTGGAGAGGGATGTCAGAAGCTGCTTGTGCAGACATGTAGACCGTGAATAAGGATATACTGAGAATGACAGCATGGAGTTTGTCGTTCAATCCACTGCTGTTTGGGGATTTGGTGAGTGCCATGAGATATGTAGGATGTGGAATAGTATAGTATAGCCCAATCTCAGCAGATCTCAGAAGCTAAGCAGGGCTGGTATTTGAATGGGAGACCAGCAAGGAAAACTTTGCAGAGGAAGGCAATGGCAAACCACCTTTATTTAAACACTTACCTTGAAAACCCTCTTGCAACTTGACAGCACTTCACACACACACACACACAAAATATGTGGATGGAGGCTGAGGTTGAGGTCTGAAGAGACAGCTTGTAAAGATTCAGTGAGGAAGGGCAAGAGGCCAGGCTGAGGAAGACAGGTCAGTCAGAGTTGGAATCATCCTGGGTTGGTGATCTTGGCCACTAGTGCATTTGAGTTGGCCTGGAATGTCTTGAGAACTGGGTCAGATTTAGCAGCTGCGGGGTGCCATGCTGGCCAAGGCTTCTACCTGTCATTATGAAGCGTCTTGTTCTGGCTTTGTGGACACTGGTATCCAATAAGTTTCTGCTCCAGTGGCATAAAGAGGCCAGTGCATATTGATTTTAACCTATTCCGGCTACATTTGTCCTTTCCATTTGAATTGTGCTGCATCACTAGAGATGCCATCAGTTTCTAGTACTGCAACTGCGTTGTTAACCCCACACAGCTTGAGGGCTGTCCAGTATTCCGCTTCAGATATGCAGGACTGTCTGGTACAGTGTTTCATTGAACAAGGGTATAGAAACTTGTAAGCCTGTTTTGCCATTATATTTTGAATATTCAGAGTCATTACAGAGAGCTGGTTCAGTCCTCTGAGTTTTCTCAAATTAACGTTGGAATAGAACAAAAGCTTCAGAGTCTCTTCCGGGAAACCGCCCGTGGGAGTAAGGCCTGACAATCAACACTTTGATCTTCAACAGGCAGATTAACTAGAATGAGGGTTCCTTTTGCCCCTCTTTCCTTCCACTCCTGTTGCAAAATCAGTGGTGGGCATGGGGCATCCCCCCCCTCCAGCTCAAGTAGGTGCAAAAACACGTTGAGGAGGAGGAAAAGGGCAAAGGAGAAATAACACACACTTGGCAAAGCATCTCCTTGGCGTTGCCAACATGGCGTCATCCCCTGCTGTTGCGTTGATTCCCGCATCCTGTTAGCAACAGCAGCAGCCTGCCATCTCTGCTGAGAAAGGAGCCTTTTTCTGGGAGCGGAAGGCAGGATTCCTGGGTTGTGGGACCCGGGGCTTGGAGCAGGGGCTGCCCCAGTTGAAGCCTTCTCCCCGTGGGCTTAAGGGGAGAAGGGCCTCCTCATTTTGTTGCTCCAGGAAGGTGAGGCTGGGGCTACAAGAGCAACAAGAGGCTGGCTTCCTAGTCATCCTCAGCTTCTCTCCCATGGGGAGGGCAGTGTGCCAAAAGCCCAGGGTGAGGGGGGTTGGTTTAAATTATGTGATCTGTGATTTTTTTTTAACACCACAAGTGTGGTATGACTGATACTGTCTGCATAGCCCCACTCTGGGCTCTGTTTCTAGGTCATGCTGGAGTGAGACAGCAAGTAGTTTCAGTTTCTTTCCCACCCCTGTCTGGATGTGTTCAGAGCAGGTTGCAAAGTAATGGAGACCAGGCAGGAGATGGATGGAGGCCCACGACAAACAAGCTGGGCTCCAGAGCTGAGCTTTTGAACCAGGATCTTCCAGCACAACCCACGTTTTCCCACAGCAACCAGGGGAGCCGAGTGCCGCACACCTGATCTACTTCTGTGAACTAGCTTTGGTGGGGAAAAGCCCAGTAGTCCTGAGGAAGGCAGAACTTTGTTGCCAAGTTGGCAGAACCAGAAAAAAAGATACCTTAAAAAAAATTATCAAATTTTGAGCACTGGCCCCCTGCATGAAGAGAGTGAATCGTGGGGGGGTTTTTGTATGCAAATCCTGTGGCATGCCTGCTTTTCCCCAGCCTGGCACTTGTACTAATCTCTGGTTCTCTCCGTGTAGACGAAAGGAATCGTCAACACAGCCATGTCAGCAGCAGTCCAGGCGGCTCGAGGCAGAGGGAGGGGTGCTCTCACGCGAGGCGCTTTTGTTGGGGCAGCAGCTGCTACTGGTTACCTGGCACCAGGTATTGACCAATCCAGGTTTATCCCATGAGTACAATAACTGCAGGAGCACAACCTGCATTGGAGGGGAACTAAAAACAGCCGTTGCCTGTGGGAAATCCATGGCCTGGTTCCCAGGACGTCAGGCAGCAAGATGGGAGAGAGGGTGGTGCTCACTTCAGCGTCCGTGGATCTGAGTGGCGGCGATTTTGCCCTTCTCTCTCTCTAAACAGTCATGTTCCGGCTTGTATTCGTTACTCCACTTCGAGCCATGCCACATTTTTCTGTGGCAACAAAAAGGAATCAGCACAGCTATTCATGTGCATCTTCGGACCATGCCTGTTTGCAGGAAGTGTGTGTTGTTTGATTGAAGTGGTACATTCAGCTTCAGTAAAACCGAACGCTTGAGGGATTCCAAGTTTGTTTGTTTTTTAGATGGGTGAGGGGCTTTTGTTTTTAAATCTGTTTTTCACTTCCCCTTTAGGAGTCCACGCTTTTGTGTGTTTGTGTGTCCTACCTTCTGAACCTAGTGAATGTCCTTCTGTGGCCCACACAACCCAACCCCCACATGTGTTTCTCTTGCAGGCTACGGGGCACCCTATGGGTACAGTGCCGCCGCCGCTGCACCAGCTTATGGTACGTACGGCCTCTTGCTTATCTAAGGCACAGTGCTATCTCTGTTGATTCTCAGGGCAGCAATTTACAAAAAATTGCTGCAACAGTTCAAACATTCATAGAATGAGAACAATGATATATTCGGAATGTGTCAACTTTGTAAATATTGGATTACTTTGTGAAAGTATTGCAACAAAACAGAATTTTGATAAAGATTGCCTCGAAACGAACATTGAAACTCGAGGAAGTTCGTAAGCGCTTCAGTGACTTGATGTCCTGACCTGTTGAAAAAAGAAATTCTGGATTAAAACAACATGGAAATGCCAATATATCATTGTTCTCATTCTGTGAATGTTTGAACTGTTGCAACAATTATTTGTAAATTGATGTATTTTGATTGCTGTGCCCTTTAGTTATATTGAGTCTCAGGGCAGCCCAGCAGTTGTGTGCAGGTGGTTGTGGGCAAACAGCAGCTCCCTTCAAATGTGGCAGTCGTAGCACTCGGTTTTGTCTCTTTTGAAGGCCGTAACCCGTGTGGTTCTCATTCTGGTCGAAGCTTCTTTCTTCCCTTTTTGCTTTGCCTGACTGTGGAAGGGCTGCTTGTTCTAACTGCCTGCCTCCCTTTCATATCAGAACTGAATGAATCTCTCTCTCTCCCCTTCCCACCCTAGTAAATTCTCCTATCTTCTTACAGCCGTCTTGTGCTCCATTCAAAGCACCCCGAAGGGCCAAAACTCAATCGGGGCTTGTATCATTGACCTGAATCTTTTACCACCCCTCACTTTGACTGAGTGCTGGCTGGTTTTCGGCAGTCGTTGCTTGGAGCCTTTGCTTTTTTGCAGTCCGCTGGGAGCCATCCATTCACACGGGTCATAGCCACATGGCCAATTGAGTCCTTCTGTTTGTCTGGAGAAGAATGGAGTTGTTGGCGTTGTTGGGGAGTTCACACATTCAGTTCAAGTGCTGTGCATCCTCCCAATTCTGAACTCTGCTTGAACGGCGTAATGTGTGAACTCTGCCCACAGAGGAGGGGGCGGGCTGGAATGACCAAGTACACCCAGCTTGCTCCCTGTACCAGGCAGCACAGTGTGGCCTTCGGCACAGAAGAACCTCCTTCTTTCCAACGTGTGGCATTGCCACCCCATTTGCCACCCCAACCAAAAGAATTCCCCTCACCCTTCTTAACGGGAAACAAAATTGGCCCTTTGGATTTCTTTGAATGTAGTTTTATGTAGCGATGGGGGCCGAGCAGTTTGGAGTCGGTGACGTGTCCCCGCCCATTTCCCCAGAAGTAATCCTGAGGCAGGCATCCCCAGACTATGTGACATGCCAGAGAACAAAAGAAGGCCCCAGCTATGCACTGCAGATGCAGTGTCTGTCTGGGAACTTGGTTGCTACCCTGCCTTTTGAGCCAGAAAGATTCCCAAGGCAGCTGGTGCAAAATGATTAAAAAATGCATTTGGGGATTCTTCTTCCCTTCTGATAGCAACACTCAGGATGACATCCCATTCAGATTCCAGAGGTCATTAAACCCAAGCCCCTTTCCTTTGAAATAATTTCCCTGGCCTAGCTCCCCCTGAGGAATTCTGTCACCTCATATCTCTTCTTTTGTGTATATGGATCCCTGATCACTTCTATCATATCACAGCAGAATCACCAGGTCAAAGAAGACTGCTTGCTGCTTCTCTGCATGAGTTGCTGCTACAGGCCTGATTCTGTCCAGTCAGATCAGTGATTCATGCACAAATAATTCATACATTTACACCTTCAAATAGTTGGGGGTGGGAATGAAAAGTGCCCTCAGCCCCAGTTCACTGCAGTATTTTGCCATGTGGGGCACAACCTGTTGCTAAACCGCAAGTTGTTTGCCCCTTTCCCCTCCTGGCCTAGCTTGGCTCCTCACTGACTTCAGCTGCTTTGTTAAAAATGCTGCCCTCATTCCCTGCATAAAGGAAATCTCTTACTGGTTGTTTTTCTTAAATGTCTGGTTGGTTGTGGTGCTAAGTCTTGGGACAGAAGCGCTGCTCCTGGCTGTAAGGTATCTCCCCCCCGTCTCCCCATTTCTCTCTGCCTCTGTGAAGCTGTTTGCATGTTGGGAAAGTTTCACTCTGATCATCTCGATCCTTTTGGAACACCTGCTGTTGCTGCTTTCTGATTTCTAAAATAGATATGTCAGGCGAAAAGGTTGAGAGACAGTCAACCAGGATTTTGTTGTTGTTGTTTTAGATTTTAAACAAAAAAACAAAAACTACTGCCCAAATAAACAAGCATCTTTGTGAGGCCACAAGAATGTCAACATAATCTGAAATTAGACAGAGAGGCTTCCCCCCCACACAAATTTTGCCACCCTTCCTCTGCCAGAGAGGCGCAAACGTATGTCGTCAATCTGGGCTGTATCTCCAGGGCTTGCTTTTGAGGCCTTATCTGGAGAGGTGTGTCACGTCACCCTCTGCTGTGTGGCTTTCTGTAGCATTTGTCCTTGCATGCAGCATGGCGATGCTGCCTCTGCCCCTATGGAGTCCCTTTGAACTCCAGCCTTGCCTGGCCCTCTGTTGCCTTATTCGCCTCCCTCTATCCTGACAGCTGGGCAGAGGCTTTAAACGAGCCAGTCCTGGTTTGTCCTCCCCATTTCTTGTCTGGCTGATGAGGGGAGGGGGTGACTTTGGGAGGGGTAATCCTGACCTCCAAACACTAGCTGCTGCACCCTTGCCAAATAAATCAGGAAACTAGCTGCATTCCTAAGAACACTTTCCTGGGAGTAAAGCCCCACTGCGTAGACCTGAATAGGATTCCAAGTAACTTGTTTAGGATTGCTTTCTTAAAGCTATAAGATTGGGGGGGGGGGCTTTTTTTGGTTTGTTTTTTGGTTAAATCTTGCTTTTCTCAAGAATGTTAAGAACTTATCTGGAGTACTTTTGGTTTCTTCTCTCTGTAGGTTTGCCCAAGAGAATGCTTCTGTTGCCAGTAATGAAGCTTCCCACCTACCCCTTGCCCCACTATTCTTTCTATTAACAAACAGGAGAAACCACTCCCCCACCCACTCCCCCACCCTGACTGAACGCCACAGTACAGTTCAGAGACACACAGTCTTTTAAAGCCTGGTTTTCTTTGAACAGATACTTGAGCAAAAACCATTTGTAAAGAAACATCTTTTCCTACGTTTTTTTTAATTTTAACAAAAATGCAAATTTAGTTCTCTCTAAAACTTGAAGAAAAACAAAACAATGGTCTGTGAAAAAAAATGGTTACCTCATTATTTTATTTTTTCAAAATAACTTATACCAGCCTTCTGTTATAGGGAAGAAACTTAGATGCTTAAAACCTTTTCTGTTTTAAATGAAGTATTCGAATTATGTAAAATTTTAAAACTTGTGAAGGATGTATAGAGTATAATACGCCGATCATAAAATAAAACCTGCTTTTTGTTGTAATGTAGTATTTGCCTGTTTCCTAACGCAGAGTCACTGGCTGGAGTTTGTCTCACTAGGCTTTTCTATGTGACTAGCACCAAATATATAAAACAAACAAACAAAAATTAATTTCTTCTGTTCTAGCTTATTCTTGGTGTTAGTTACACTCGAGGGCTTTTGTGAGGCCCTTCGTCTTGTCATGTCTCCCCAGTTGTGGGAGGATATAACATTGAGTCATGTGGGATGCGCTTACACATGAGAAATGCCTTATGCGCTCAGCATCAGAGCATGCCCATGCCTCTCTTGTAAGTGGGCCAAGTTGGTAGCCCCTTCTCCCAATAGGACTCTTGCCCTGGCCCTGGCACAAGGAGCGCCATTCTCCTGAACTGAAGCCATCATGTAAGGGTGAGGGCATTCCAATAGTACCTGAAGAGCCAGAACAGAAGGGGCCTTGGAAAAAACTTTTCCCCTCAGGAAGAGGGTTTTGTTCTTGCAAGGCAGCTGCTGACACAATTTAAAAAAAAATCTGTGATTTTAGTACAGTACTTTATGAAAGTCATTATCAAAGTAAGGAGGTTCCCTGACTTAAAAATTGATAGATAAATTCCGCTATTTAAATCTCTCCCACTTTAAAAAAGAAAGAAACCAACTTCAAATAATCAGACGCACACATGTTCTTGTGGCCTCCCTCACTCAGCCTTGGATTTTTCAGAGCTAAAGCAAAGGGTGCTCCTTTTTTTAATCCCCGCCCCCAACCTTGACCAACTCTTAAGAATCTAAAGCAGCAACACGGTCCCCATGAATACTTGCTACTTTAATTGTCCCTGGTCTTGTTCAGTGCTGCTGTGAAAAAGTTAAGACGTTTCAGCCATAGGCCAGTATCTGTTGTCTTCTGGGTTTTCTGATTCTTGGTGTGTGAGATTTGCGCAATGTGCATATCACCTCCGCTGAGAAAGTAATGCTGTTCTGGGATGGGGGCTGCTTTTGAAGCAGGTAAAGGTGAGGGAACACAGATTGCTATTAAGGTATCACCCCCACAAACACACAAGCGTTGCTGTTTCTCTTTTTCTCTTCAAAGGTCACCCATTTGTAGTTCGTTTATAATATTCTTGTGCTGGGCCAAGGATGCCTTTATATACTTCGCTCTCCTCCAGGTGACTGGAACAGAGGCACAGTGTGGGCCTTGAAAAGAGGAGGGGGAGGAGCTGCGGCCAGTCTCCTTGTAGCATGAGCAATCTTTTTGAGAGTCAGAGTATATAAACGCACAGCTTTCCCTGGAATTAACCACACCTGCAGTTTGAGGTGGGGGGGGGAGGGAAAAGAAAGCAAACACCCAATTATTTGTGCTTTTTGGAATGTGTATCCCCCCCCCAAATCTTTCGTATCTGTTTTATCTTTGTGCCGTAGCTCTTACTTGTGGTTCAGTGGTGGTGATGCTTTAATAAAACGCTGGAAGCATCCAGAATGCTGTTTGCCCTCCCTTACCTTAGTGCAGAAGAAATGTTTAAAATGAGGGGGGAGCAGAATAGACGGGGGGACACTTTCAAATTGAGAACAGTATTGACTGTCTTGCTGGCCTATGGATGAAAAGAAGCCATCACGGAGCTGGAAAAGAATGGCTAAGATGATACAATAATATTTATTCTTTCTGGGTAATTGGCCATTTTGTAAATTGAGGGGAGGTTTTTTTTGTTTTGTTTTTGCCATGAATTTCTTCAGCTCTTTTGAAGCCGTGCGCAGTACCTTCTGTGACATTCTAAAGGCTTCCCTCACCAGAGAGAACCTTGTTCTGGCCAGCCACTGGTCTCTGCTGGCGCTCTGCTCTTTTCCAACATGATGGCCGTCATTTTCAATAATTGATATGAAGTCATTTTCCCCCCCTCTCCATTTATTTTTTGTCATGTCGGGAGTTACTAACCCCATGTTGTAAACCCGCCCTGTTGCTGCACATTTTATATTTCTCTGCTTTACTGAAATCCTTTTAATAAGCTGTTGGTTCCTTGTTTTATATGCATAAATATAAAAAATAGACAAGGGGTAACCGGTTTTTGGAGGTTGCTAGTAGAGGATGACTCAGTACTACTTTTCATGTTTAAAAAAGGGGGGGATCCAAAAGTGCCCAATTTTGCAATGAAAACCCCACATACAGCTTGAAAGAGCAGAGAAATTTAAGCGGCGCTTGAACCGTCATCCCCTTTTGAAAATTAACCTGCGATTTTCTTGCTTCTCTGCTCTTCTCTCTGCTGTAGGTGGCTTTTTCATTGACAGCCCTTATTGCCAACCTCTCAACATCGCTCCTTTTATCATTCACTTGGGCCCTCAAGATTTCTTCTCTGACTTCTAGAGCAAGCAGGTTATGTGGTTTGCAAAGTGCTTTTCACAAATTACTTCCTAAAAGCAAGAGCTTAATGTGACTCGTTTGAGGGAAGAGCCTTCAACATCGGAATGGGACTCTGGGATTCTCTTTAAAAAAAGTTTTATTTATATTTTTTTAATTGTTCGTCTCCTGAACTCCAAAAAGCAATACTCACAAGCCCCGTTCTCAGAACCACAGCAATAGATGTACATAGAGCATTGCTTGGCTGTTTCTACATTGCACTAAGACAGAAATGGATGTTTTAAACCATGTTCCGTTTTGAAAATTGGCCTGGCTCTCAATCGAACTAGCTAGCTTTAACTCCACTTTTGGCTCTCTAACTAGTCTGATTTCCTTTTTGAACGGGAAGCACAGAACGAAACTGAGGCTGTAGGAAAGCTTTCAATCTCCCCCCCACCCTTGTAGCGACGTGGTGGAAGCTTTCCGGCTTTTGGTCGTGGCACCTCTGCAGTGCTTCTTCTGGAAGCATCAGCTCTAACCAAATGGGATCTTGAAACTAAACAAGCCATTTCAGATGAAAATGGACTTTCTAATGGCCCCTTAACTTTGCTTTAGGATGCCCTGGTTTAAAAGGAAGGCTTTGGAAGTGAACAATGAACAGTACAGGATGCATCTTGTGAAACCCAAAAGCTCACATATCCCAGTAAAGAGAGTGTGACGCTCGGGTAGGGGGTCTGTTTGCAGTCAGTCCTCTCCTCTCTGTATGACAGGCCTACCTCATAGGGTTTAAAGAAAGATATCCCACATAAAAACATTCAAGCCCTGCTGAAATGACTGGCGTCCTGGACTGTATTCTTACACAGCTCCTGTTCATTTGTTCCAACAGAGCTTGTGTGAGAGAAGATCCCAGTGGATCATGCCAGTTTGGTGTAGTGGATAAGTGCACGGACTCTAATCTGGGAGAACCGGGTTTGATTCCCCACTCCTCCACTTGCACCTGCTGATGTGACCTTGGGTCAGTCACAAGCTCTGGCACAGCTGTCCCTGAAAAAGAGCAGTTTCTGTCAAAGCTCTCTCAGCCCCACCTACCTCACAGGGTGTCTGTTGTGGGGAGGGGAAGGGAGAGGAGTTTGTAAGCCGCTCTGAGACTCCCAAGTGAAGGGCGGGGTATAAATCCAAACTCTTCTCTCTTCTTCTTCTTCTTAATTCCCAGTGGAGGTGAGGCGTCTGTATGGGGCAGGTGAATCCTTGCTAATCAGGTTAATGGCAATTTCCTTTTCCACTCTGGCCATATAGCTTGTAGGCATCTGTGTGTGTAAAATAAGCACAAAGGCAGCGGCTGTGTGCCAAGGCCGGGGTGTCTGAAAGAGGTAAGCGCTTCTGGTTTTGGCCCAGAGGCTTCTTTCTCCTGCCGCCTTCCAATCATTTCGCTGTTTTGCTGAACCTCCACCGTCACGTCTTGAACTGTAAAATGGAGTGTAAATATTTGAGGAGGAATCCTGCAGCCCAGGAAGGGCCGTTCTTCTCCAAACTGCCAACACTTTTTTTTTTTTTAAACTTATTTTATTTGGTGAAAGACAAATGATATTTTTAAGTTTCATGCTCAAGAAAACAACCTGAAGGAAAAATATGTCCGTGTGTTTCATCTTTAATCCCGCTACTCCAGTCCTGGATCATGGTGAGGACTATACCAGGGCCTCAAGATATATACGCATGAGGAGTTCAGCATCCAACATCTCAGCTGCTTCGTTTTTGTCCAAAGCCGCCTCATGAGGCAGCTCCTCCTGTTGTGACGTTCAGCATGGTTAAATTTTCATTCCACATAGTTCAAGTGGAAATTCTTTGGTGCTATAGTCTAACAGTTTTGCTCTGGGGTACAGGCACAAGGCCATCTGGAGGAAAGGGCAAATTTCCAAGCCAAGAATGATTATATGGGCTGAAAACAAATGGCCAGTGTCCCTATATAGACCTAAGGTGCAACCGTGTCTAGAATAATGTGTTCAGTTCTGGTTACTGTGTCTCAAAAAAGCAGCACTGAATAAGGACAACCCAGGCGATAGAGGAAGCAGAGTACCTTCGTAACACGGAAACACCTGGGGCTTTTTTTGCTTTGGAAATGGTGGATGGGTTAGAGAAAGAGAACAGAATTTAGAGGTGTTCCCTGAAATTGATGGGTAATAGATTCAGGGTAAACATAAATTGTTCTTCACACAACACATTAACTTAAGAATTTCACTGCCACAAGACGTCGTGATGGCCACTTATTTAGATGGTTTTAAAAAATAATTAGATGAATTCATGTAGGATAGGCTGACTAATGGCCTTAGTGACTAAGTGGCCATTGAAGTGTGTCTGAGTGCCAGTTGCTGGGGAAGGATGCTGTTGGTTTCATGTGTTGCTTGGACGGTGGAGTATCTTGTTGCCACTGTGGGAAATGGGATGCTGGACTAAACAGAACTCAGTCTGATGCTGCTGGACTTTTCCCCATTGGGCCTTTTGGTGAGAAATATCATTGCAGAACTGGCTTAAAGATAAGAAGCTGACAGATCATTGTAAATAAGTATCTAATATTTTCCCCATCAATAATTGAAGCTGGTCTCTTACTTGAAGCCTCGGTGGTTTGGAGCTTTTAAAAAAATATTTGAATCTAAAAATCCATAGAGAGCAGCTTATAAATAGACCAAATTAAATCCTATGGTTATATGAGAGGGTGGCGTGGGAAGATGATGTTTAAGTTTGCACGGCTAAATCACTAGTGGAAGGGAGCCTTTAATGAACAGTGTTAATGTTACAGGAGGGCTATGGACGCACAGAGGCCAGTGTCTGTAGTTGGTCTTGTTCTAAAAGCTATGGATTGATTTCTTTTTAATTTAAAGCGGGGGGGGGAGAAAGGTTAAACAAGAGTCTTCTGGAAGGTCACCCTATTCCTTTCCAGCCAGACATGGACGTTCTGCCCTCCGATACGGAAGGAACATCTCTGGGTAGCTCAGCTGAAAGAAGAAAGGAGGTAAAAAAGAAATCCTGGCCCCCTTTTCGTGTCCAAAGTCTTCTCCAGAGGCAACTCCTCTCAGTGTGACATTCAGCACAGTTTAATTTCCATTCCATGTAGTTCAAGTGGAAATTCTGACAATTTTGGAAGAACATCAGAACCAAATTGGCTGAGTAGTGTAAGGACCAGGTACCACCTCCTTAAAGTCCTTCCCCACAGCTCTTTTCCTGGAAAATGAATGGCGACTTCAAGTGCTGACATTCCAGAACAGTTGTAAAGGCAGCCACAAAGTAGTTTGCATTCTTGTTGGAAAAGGCTGCCACAGTCTGCTTTGCCACCGTGATTTGCTTCCTTCTTTCATTCCCTCCCTTGTTCTTTTCCACACAGGCTCAGACTAACCTTTTCCTGCTCATTGCTGTCTTTCCTATAAGTATTGAGACCTACTTTTCTAGCATGAAAGCCTCAAAGTAATCTAACGGGATCAGTACAATTAACATTTTCTTAACTTCCCCATCTGCTTTGAGCCCTTGCTGTGGAGCATGTTTCTACTGTAACTCATCACTTCAAAACTACTTTTTAAAAATTGTTACCAGTTACGGCTCCACAAATAGGGAGATGCTTAAAGAAAGCAGGCAAAGTTTTTGCTTCAGCTGCAATTAAGGGCATGGGTTGGCAGTTGCTTGGGTGGTGGGCACTGCTGAAGATCTTTCTCCTACCAGCAGAAAAGAAATTTTAATGGGCCAAGATCTAAGCCAGGAGACACCAGGTACTCCTTTGTCTCTTCCTTTTAGGGCCCACAGCAGCTTGTCCGCCATCTTTTATTAAGGCCATGCATTGTCCTCCCTCCCACTGTGGCATTTTTATCTACAGGATCTGGTTTAGGACTAAGTAAAACTAACAGGCATGCAGGGAGCCCTTCCCCCATAGCACCAATCTCATGCTTGCTTTTCTGTTCTCATCTTGCTCTTCTAAGGTCAAACTAAGCTCACAGCCACGTCCTCCAGGTATTATACCATGGTAGTATGTTAAGCAAGACATTTGGTGTTGTCCAAAACAATTCAAGTTTCTCTGAAGGGGCCCATACAGAAGGATTTTGGAAGTACTGAAGAAGCTTAATTGACTTCTACATGCTTGTTGGGAAAGCTGTTGTCCATGGCAGTTCTTCAAATACCAACACAGGCTTGTGGAAGAGCCACGTGATAACCTTGGCTCATCAGCCATTGCTCGTAAGTCAGCCCAGTCCGGGAACCTACAATGTGTTTCATTTCTTACAATAACAACGTACAATAAAAGAGGGCTTTCTGCTTCCAGGAGCTGTGTGCCTGGCTCAGGCTGCCAGAAGAAAACATTTATGCTGGGTGGAACACCAGTGCTGAGAGAACACACACAAAAACCATGAGGACAAGGCCATTTTCCTTTGCATATGCAAGGGCACTCTGTCGAGCAACAGCTGGCAATCGCCCTACCCTCCTAGGATGTAAACAGAAAGGCTGCTGAAGAAAGGCTAAGGGGCAGCCCCAGGAAAGGACTAAAGCAGAGAGTTAGACAAGTGTCTTTTCCTCCCTGCTTGTAATTATGCCACATGAGAAATGGTTACGTCAAGGCACACACGGTGACACGGAAAGTAGGGAGTTCTCAGTGCCTCCAGTATCGTCACGCAGAGGTAAATGTATACAAATCCCACAGCACAGCTATGAAAATGTGTAACCCTTTGGGTAACAAGAATCCAGACTAAGTGGCTAAGAGAGTGGCAGAGGAACACCCACGGGTATGTGTCTGTGTGACTTTGAAATGTCCAGCCATGGAGGTCGCCAAAAGCTCTAGCCAAGGATGAGAATACAAGTGTGCAATTCACTAGATGTGCAGCCTGTAAAATGTAACACATGGTGAAAACAAGTCTGATCAAATAGGGTCTGGCTCAGAGAAGCTGCGCCTACAATAAATTCATTAGTGTCTAATGTTCCACAGAACAGTCGTTTTGAATGCAGCAGACTTGCATGGTTGACCTATGGAACTGAGTAGGTAGTAAGCGATGACAGAACAAAGAGCAGGTGCACTTAGGCTGGACTGAGACAGGAGTGCTGGATTTGTTGACGGGTTCTGAGGTTTGGGACACTGAAGCCACCAACAGAGAGGCAAGATTAGAGGAGTAGCTAGAAAAACAACTTGAAGCCCCATTGACAGCTGTCACAATTCACTAGCATCAGCTTTTCAATGAGCATTTTTTGGTTCTAACTTTGACACTGCTTTATTAAATCTCATTTTCAATAAAAGTACCCCCAATTCTTTCTGTTCTAATGTACGGAGGAATGTTTGCTAAGGAAAAAAAGGTACCCAAGATTCAGTGCATGGAAATAAAATATTACGTGCCAGTTTGGTGCAGAGGTTAAGAGCGGCAGACGCCCCACTTCCCTACTTGAAGCTAGCTGGGTGACCTTAGGCAAGTCACAGCACTCTCAGTCTAAAAATAAGCTTAGCTCACTACCTAGTGGTGTAAAAAAAAGCTACAGCTTTGGCAGCCAAGCCCTCTGGGATCTCCTGGCTATTCCACACACAATGCCATACGATAATTTCAATTAGGTGGCCCATTGTTGTGTTGACTGTTCTTCACCATTGGTCTTGGAGAAAGCAGTAATTCGTGCTTCTGAAAAAAGATGACCAAGCAAGGAAGTAAAAAATGCAGGTATTTGAAAGGCCCATGTGCCGTTCAATCTTACCCCAGTAATACCTCTTGTCAAGCCTATTTTTCAAAGCTGTTTTGCACAAGACGTAGTCCCAGGAGTATTTCCCCCCTCACTGGATTCCACAGTGCTGAAACATGGATTTTATTCTGTATAAGAATTCAAATCAAAATGGGAATTCATTCTTTAAATCAAACAAGAAGTTAATATTAGTACCGGTATTTGTCTCCTGCAGCACTTAAAGAGTAAATCCTCCTGACAAAAGGGATTGTCCTTCTCCATATCACCAAACTGAGC